ATTACACTGAAATTATTAATAAAATATGCACAATTGGGCTTGGTAGAAATTTATGATAGGAAGTGCTCTCTGTTGTCAAGTTTGAGATAAATAGATGGTTACTTTCTTCAAAGTATGTTTGAAGCCATGTTGACATTGGTACTTGTATATATTGTGTATATTTAGAGCCAGTTTGGTCAAATGGTTAAGACACCAGGTTAGAAAGCAGAAGACTGTGAGTTGAAATCCTGCCTTAGTCATGAAAGCCAGCTAGGTGACTTTGGGTCAGTCACTGTCTCAGCCCAGCCCACCTGACAAGATTGAGGGGGAAATAGTAGAAGGAAAATGTGTGTATTGCCTTGAATTATTTGTAAAATTAATAAAGATTGATACAAATAAGCCAGGGTGGTGGTGGAATGGCTCAGCAGTTAAAAACTCCAGGACCACATAATGGAGTCAGCTCCTGTTACTTGCCCCAGCTCCTGCCAACCTAATAGTTGAAAGCATGCAAATGAGAGTGATAAATAGCTGCCACTTCGATGATAATGTAACAGCATTCCCTGTGTCTCTCGGCATATGGTTATGTTAGCCACATCACCACAGAAGTGTCTTTGGACAACTCTGGCTCCCTCAGTTAAGAATTGGTGATGAGCACTGCCCCCTGGGAATAAAACATAACTAGACAAGAAAAAACTTTACCTTTATCTTTACAAATAAATAAAAAAATAATTAACATTCCCAGTTATATAATAGCCACTTACACTTATCCTTTGCAGCTTGTAATACCATTTGAATTTATGTCTAATATTTAATTGGATTGTAGCCACTGAAAATAACTTGGAAGCCACATGCGTAAAGTCATATAGGTATTACTTGCACTTTGTTACCTACCTCCAAATGATTAGAAGCCCCCTTTCCAGCTCTTTGATAACTTCTTACTAAGGAAAATTTTCCTGATAGTTAGAACAATTAATCAATAGAATGATTTGCCTCCAGAAATTGTGAGTGCTCCACCACTGGAGGTTTTTAAGAAGAGATTGGACAGCCATTTGTCTGAAATGGTATAGGGTTTCCTCCTTGAGCAGACGGTTGGACTAGATCTTCAAGGTTCTTGCCAACCCTGTTATTCTGTTACTTTAAGGAAAAATCAAGGCAAATAAACCTCATGGTGCAGAGGTTTCTTCTCAGATATCTTTATAATAAAGCATCTCAGATCTCAGAATATTTTAATGTCTCTTGCTGTTTCCTGCAAATGCTGCAATGTGCATTTTTCCTTTTGGGTTGATATATATAAACTATATCAGCCCTGTGCTGTCATAAACCAGGAGATGATAGACCAATGTGTTACGACAATTATAGGGCTGCTTAAATGTTATGAACTATTTTAATTTTTCAATATTTCTGTATAAATCTTGCAGAAATAAAATATAAACTGCAATCTGTTCTCAAAATCCGAAAACTGAATGAAAAAAATACAAATGAGTAAAAATCATTTTATTTATTTACTGAGGAATGTATTCCCAAACTACATATTTCTGTGCATTTGTAATCAGGTGTGAATGAGGAAGGTCCTGTCTTATTTCAAGAATAGAATTTGGGTATATACAAGTCTAATGTTTATAACACACATTTGGAGATTCCCAGGAATCTCTGACAAACAATGATTAATGCTTTTACCAAGCTGGAAAAGTTTACAAATCTATTTCTAAAGTTTTGGATTTTACCAGTCCACTCTCAGAAGATTGTGTACAAATGCAGACAATTCAGCAGTGATTGACCAATCAATATCATACCAAGAGCAAGGTGTGTAATACTCTAGGTCTAGGAGGTATCAGAGAGGTCCAGGCTAATGTCTAAGGAACTAAAGGCCTTTCTTGCATTGGTGAATATCACTATCACTGTTCATGGCAAAATCATCGGGAGAAACTGAACAACAACATGGCAAGGTTGCAAGAAGACAGCTGCTATTCTCCAAAAAGAAAACTGCTGGCCACCTATAGTTTGCAAAAGACCACATGGATAAGCCAGAAGGCCATTGGAAGAATGTTATGTGACGGATGACACTGAAATAGAATTTTTGGCTTGAATTAAAAATGTTATATTTGGCTGAAGGGGAAAACACTGCATTCCAGTATCAGAAACTTTATCCTATTTGTGAAATATGCTGGTGGCAGTAAAGATTTGTGCTTGGCTCTGGACCAGGATGGCCTGACAACACTGATGGAACTATGAATTCTGAATTGTACTAGCAATTTCTATAGGAGAATGTCAGAGTATTTGTCTATGAACTGAAGCTCAAAGGAATGCAGCAAGACAATTTTGCAAAACAAATTGTGCAACCAAGGAAGCAGAAGAAATTTAATGTTTTGGCCATGTCAAAATCCTGACCTTAACTGTATAGAAATATTGTGGAGGGGCCTGAAGTGCAAGCCTACTAACATCCCTGAATTGAAGCTGTTGTATAAGGGGGAATGGTTATAATTCTTCCAAGAAGTTGAGTAGGATTAATCGCAGTTAGTGGATACATTTAGTTGCAGTTATTGCTGTATTCCAGTTACTGAAAGCAAAATTACACATACTTTTATCACACAAAAATATATAGCTTTGGATCATTTTCCTCAATAAATCACTGAATATGTATGTTTTTGACTCATTTTTAAAAACAATGGTTTCTCTTTATCTAGTTTTAGAACATGTGGAGAAAAGATCGCATTGTAGGTCATATTATGCAGAAATATTGAAGATTTGAAAGGATTAGTCACCACTATATAATTTATAGTTGGATGTTATAGATACAGAAATAACATAAATGTTTTTTTCATTTAGTGTGGTACAATTTCTTAAATTAGGCTTTAGAAACTGCAGTTTTTCAATTGATAAAGCAAAGAAATATAAGCAGAGAAATAAGATTTTGAAGACTTTGAATTTAATGAAAATAGGTTGGAACTTCCAACTGAGAAGTTTATAGCTTTAAGTAGCTGAAATTTTGAAGAAATTATTAAGTTTCTGTAGGTATACCAACTGTAGGGAATGTTACTGGGTTTTTTTCTGTACACATAGACACACAGAAAAGGGGGAGGTCTCATTTTTTAAAACCTGGGACTGATTGTATATGTGACAGAATATGTAAGCATCTAAAAGTAGCTCTTATCTGAATAGTAGGTCAAAAGTGGACCTTATATATAGTACAGATTCAGTGAAATAGCTCGGTTTTCCTGTTGTATTATAAGGGCTTCGTTAAAGATAATAGCATACAATATAACACAAAGTTACAATCTTTGGAGATGTGCCATATTATAGAAGCAATATTCTAATTTCACATATCAAGCTCTCTCTTTCACATATCAAGCTCTCTTCAAAAGAGGTATTGGTGGATTTCTTCAGGGAAAATGGATAAGTCACGGAGACTCAAAGAGAAGTAATATACTTATGGGTGGCTTTTGCTTATTTATTTTACATTGGAATAAAATGCAGCTTTTCATAAAATATTGCTTATCACAAAGGGAATATCATGATGGTACAATGTCACAAAGCAAACAGCAGTCACTGGATAACCTTGTCTGCATGAGGTCATGCAGTGGCAAAGCATTATCATTACAATTCAGTTCAGATTAGAGTTTTTACAAAAGGTCTTAAAGAAGATAAAAACCAAACATGACATCCATTTCTTATTTAATTTGGTTGTAAGATTATTATCTTGCATTTTATATAATTCTAAAATACAGTATTCTTATACAGTAAAGTACCTAATGAAATGAGTGCATCCCAGCTTTTTAGTAGAGGTGTTTATTGTATGACTAAGTGGTCTTTGTTTTATATCTTAGGAGTCTCCATAATCGTTAACATTTTAATTCATCTGTTAAAATAATTTTATATAAGATATGGTCATTGGTGCTTAAACATTCTATTTTTTGAAAAATGAAACAGGCATTTTCTAGAATTTCATTATAGAAATAAGACTAAGATTTGGAATAATTAGCATGAATTAGTAAAACTGGAAGTCAAAGAAATTTTTACTAAAAGGGATAATTTGAAGGAGAGGAATCTATAAAAACAGAGCTGGAACAGAAATAAGTGCAGTATGACAGCAAACTATGATAGACGAAGGAAGCACATAGAACATGGAATACGTAAAGTTGTTTCCATCATTCTGTCATACTTGTTATGTTCTTCTAATATGTAATGTTTTCTATTCAGGGAAATATTAGAATATATATTTAGTGGAAATGGAACTTTATTTTTTTGTGAAATAATTATGTTGCTTTTTGAAATTTCCACAATTCTGTTATTATTTTTTTATTTTAGGAAATTATTACATAAAACTGCCTGGGAAATTCCTCATATGAAGCAATTCAGGATATAATATAGGGAATTTATAAATTAGCAAAGTTGTAGAGTAAGCTACAGATATAAAGAGACAATACCAGATTTTTACACTTGTTCTAGCACAAATTTGTGACCTTTTCAGGAACTGCAGGAGGTATGAAATAAGGCAGATCTGTACCTGTATGCCTATAGCAAGTAACCTAGGAATTAAATTTATTTCTCTGTGTAATATGCTGAATACTATTGAAATAGCACTAAAACATGTCTTGATTTATGGCGTGAAATATTATTCTAGATAACTACCTAGGAATGTAATAATGTCTTTTATAGAAAAATCTGTTTGGAAATAGGTTTTTATTTTAAAAGGCCTTTGTGTTTCCTGATTATGATGCTCCAGTTTCTGCAATATATGAATAAAAAAAGCACATTGATTTTAATGGTAATTAATAAAAGAGTTAATAAAGTATGAGACCATGGTTTTTGTTGTCTAATCATAATTTTCATTGTTTAAAAGTTAGGCTTGTAGCTCTGTGAAGAATCTTATAATCTTATCCTGTCTGTATATGTTATGTGCTAAAGAATGAATGTTAAATAATTAAAATTACATGCAAATCATATGGAAGCTTCTTGATATGAATTTATTCTATTTACATTGTCAAAAATGTTAAAAATAAAATTAAATTAACTCTTTATAGGTTGGGCTCATGTGGTTTGTGCTCTGTACATTCCCGAGGTGCAGTTTGCAAATGTTTCTACAATGGAACCTATCGTGTTGCAGTCTGTTCCTCATGATCGTTATAATAAGGTATAATTAAATTATGACTTTCTTTCTTTATATAACATTGTTATTTGAAAATTTTAAAATATTTTAGAATTTATTAAAATAGTTCTGTGACCTCTTATACTTTTTTACTGAAACAAGTAAATTAGAAAAATTCTTCTATAATAATACTATAATATAATTTGTAACATGAAGTGATTTTTTTGTTTAGTTAATATTTCAGCATAACCTGAAATATTTTATTTAAATATATTATTAAAATAAATAAAAAGTATTTTGTAATATTTTCAGTGTTATTAGTAATAATTGTACTTAGTACTGTTATAAAGAAATGAAGATTATTAGTAATGCTAGTTGAGAACAGAATGTCAGCTTGTCATTTACATTTAATATAATATTTATATATTTTATTTCTTACAAAAGTCAAGCTTCTTTGTTCACTGGTTTTGTCATTGAGAAGGTCAATGTGGTATCAGCAGTTCTCTCTCTTGGTATTGTAAAATATAGTTTTCTATTTGATATTAGATTGACCAAGCATATGAATAAATACCTAAATAAATTTGAAGTTTGTTCATTTTTTTGCTATTTATTAAAAAGTAATATATAATCTTTTTTTTTTTTGCTGGATTGTGAAGAGTTTTGAGTTGTAAAATTTTTGAAAACTAAAATAAGGCTATGGCATCCTCTTTAGATAAGTTTTAAAGTGTTTAAACTTAAATTTCATCAAATGATGCTGGTTTCAATTAATAATTAGGTCTCATTTTTTAAACATATGGAACAAAATATTTTTAAAGGTGTAGGTAGCCCTTGACTACAACTGATCACATTACAATTGTTTGGAGTTACATTGGCCTTGGAAAGGGTGCTGGAGATACAAAGTCATTTGGATTCTCTCTCAGCTGGAACCTGTCAGTGGTGTTAGTTCATATGAGATATCCGAGGAACAGTTTTACTCAGATACCTGAGAACAGTTCAGTCCTTCTAGATGTGATGAAGTGGACAGGGTCCTCGCTGCTGTCAGTGCAATCACATGTCAACTGATTCCTTGTTCGTTTGCTTGTTGAAAACTTTCAGAATAGTGACTGCCAGGTGAGTTCAGGTAGTTATTAATTCCTCACTGTTGAAGGACAGTTTCTCAGGGCTTTTAAAAAGTGGTCCTGGTTTGCCCATTTCTAAAAAAAATTCATCTCGAACTCACCTACCTTGACAGTTTTCATCCAGTTTCTAATCTTTCTTTCCTAGGGAAGGTGGTAGAGAATGTGGTTGTTTGGCAGTTTCAGAGAGTCATGGATGAAACTGATTATCTGGAACCCTTCCAGTCAAAATATAGGCCGTTATGGGATAGAAATAGCATTGGTCACACTTGCTGATGATGTTTGGTGAGAGCAGGATGTGGGTGGTGGTACAACCATACTTGCTATCCTTGATGGTTCAGCAGCCTTCACACTATCAGGTACCTTTTTGGGCTGTCTGTTCAGTTTGGGGCTAGAGAGCGCAGTCCTTCATTGGTCTGAATTCTTTCTCCAAAGCCGGTCCCAATTGGTGTTGATAGACAGTGAGAAATCCAGGGCCATTCCTTTATGGCATGTTGCAGGGCTCAGTACTCTTTATTTGTCACCACGGATTGAAGTATCATCAATGCACAGATGATAGTGAACTCTATATTTTCACCCATGGTGCCCCAAGTGATACTATTTCTGCCCTCTTGTGTTGCCTGGAGCTTGTGAGCATCTCAATGGGGCACAAAATACTTTGACTGAACCCTGGCAAGGCCAAATGACTTCGAGTGCTTGGAGTGTTGAGATCCAGAAGTTTCACATATCTAATTCTGGATGGGTTTATACAACCCCAAATAGACCTGATGCGCAACTTGGGGGTTCTCCTGGACTTGAGATTCCTGCTGTAAGAGCAGGCAGAAGTCATAGCTAGGAGACCATTTGCACAATTAAATGCTGTGCATCAGTTACAACCTTTCTTGGATTGGAAGTATTTATGCTCAATTACTCAAGCCTTGGTCATTTCAGACCTAGACTATTGTAATTTACTATGTATATTGGCCTTGAAGTGTATTTGGAAGCTACAATTGGTTGCAAAAGGTGTAACTGGTGCAAAAGGCACAGGCTGTTGTTGGGGTTCCAAGGGTGGCCCATGATAATATCATTGCTCAGTTGCATTAGTTGCTGGCTTGCTTACAGTGCAATTCAAGGTATTGGTTATCGCCTTTAAAGCCCTTCATGACAATCCAGGCTATCTGAAGAACCATCTTACCACAATGGGATTGGCCCACCCCAGCCTTGCTGGCAGAGGGAGCATGCTACAAACCTTGTAAGTCAAGGAATGTCCATTGATGGGGTCCAGGAGCATATGGACAGATTTAACCATAGTTTCATGGGGAAACTGACCATCCTAAACTAAGCTATGTCCAAAAATGCTATCAATGTCAAATCAATATTAATATCAAATCAATAATATAAACCTGAACAACATCTATATACTGTGCAAAAGAGATAATCAACAAGCCAGAAAGTGAACAAAAAAACCCAAAACACCTCCCCTCCAGCAGTCAACACGCAGATTAACATCGGACCGAAGTAAATAATATCCCAATCAAGAAATTTCCAAACAAGCCAACAGTAAACAGACCAAGCAAAGAATGATTAAGACCTCTCCCACCAATTGACAGGCAAGCCACTAGAATATGAATTGAGAGCAAATCCTACTGCCTGTTAACAGATATTATTTAAATTGAGTAATGAAACATCTGCAAAAAACAACTAAGCTCAGAGAGCACCAAGGACTCCTCATTTCAACCCTGAACTATAAATATTCTCCTTTATCAATGGTTCCATATTCTGTACTCTAAAATAAGTAAGTTACTGTATAAGACTTACCGTATTTGCCGGCGTATAAGACGACTGGGCGTATAAGACGAGCCCCCAACATTTCCACTCAAAATATAGTTTTTGTTATATACTCGCCGTATAAGACGACCCCCCCACTTGGAGGCATGCTTTTCAAGGCAAAAAAGTCGTCTCATACGCCGGCAAATACGGTAAGTTGTAACACTTGGGGTATTCTGGATATAATTCTTGATTGACACCCCCAACCCCTTTCCCCCAAACTTACAAAGCCACCAAAATGCTTTAGAGAGGCAGCTTCGCCTTTCTCAGGCTGGCACTCAATTCCTCTCCCTTTCTTTGTGACAGCCCCCGCGTGCGTGCCATCGGGACTCCAAGGGTGGGGGATGGACAGCTGCCAACTCTCTCTCTCTCTCTCTCTCTCTCTCTCTCTCTCTCTCTCTCTCTCTGTGTGTGTGTGTGTGTGTGTGTGGAGGGTAATTCCGGCTATCTCTGGCCTCCGCTCGGTTTTAAAGTCGCTTGGCCGGTTCCCAAGTCGCAAGCGCGCGCTGGCCGGTGCAGGGGAGGCAGATCTTTCTCTCTTAAGCGGGGAGGGGAGGAGGGGACAAGAGGAGGGACGGGACAGGGGGCAGGAGGAGGGCGCTCGCCTTCTTCCACCGCCCACCGGACCCTTTTCTTCCCAAGGGGACCCTGGAAAGCAGCTCGGGAGCTGGGTGGCCCTGCCCAGCGGGGTCCCATCAGGAACTTCCTGAGGACATCCCCCCCGCCCCAAGCACAGCCCTCCCGGTCTTTCAAAGAGGGAGGGAGAAGCGGGAGGAGCAAATTGCCGCCCCCCGCCCCGCTGCCCAGAAGGAGGGGCGCCACAGTCCACCCCCACCACCTTCTCCCCCCCCACTCCCTGGGCCATTACGCGGCTCGGGGCTGGCTGGGCGAAGCGGCCCCGCCAGAGACCCTCCCGCTCCACCCCCACCCCACCTCCAGATTGGCCTCCGCAAGCGCCCCGAGCCGGGCGGAGGGTGGGTGGGTGGGTGGGAGGAGGAGGAAGAGAGACTCCGGCTGGGCTTGAAGGGGCTTCGCAAGTTGCGGAGCTCCGCCCCCGTCGCTCTTGCACCGAGTGACAATGTATTTACCGGCGTATAAGACGACCCCCCCACTTGGAGGCATGTTTTTTAGGGCAAAAAAGTCGTCTTATACGCCGGCAAATACGGTATTTGGTATTTGAAAAATGCTTAATGCTACCCTGTTTCTCCAACAATACGGCCTCCCCCAATAGGAAGTCCCAGCATGTTTTATAGGCATGAAATGAAATTAAGCCCCTCCCCCCAAATTAAGGCCTATATTAAAACATGCGAAATGGGGGGAATGGTGGGAGGGCTTGCCGTTAGGAAGTACTTTTGTTGCACACCCGGATATGGTGCTGCCTGCATTGACCCCGATACGAAGTGCCCCACCAACACCGAGGTCAACATCCAAACCGTCGCCGCCCGCCCGATGATGCAAGGGGGGAGGGAATTAAGTCACCCCTGAAAAGACGACCTAGCCATTTTTTCGGGGCTCAAAAAAAAATAAGTCCCGGCCTTATTATATGAGAAACACGGTAAACATATCCATTTCTCTCAATCTTTCTTCATAGGATTTAGTTTCTTGTTCTTGAATTGTTCTTATTGAAAATAGAATGTAGTAGAGTAGATATAGAAATAGATTTTTTTTTTTGGCCAAGTGTGATTGGACCCTGTCTTTGGTGCTCTCAGTGTACATACAAGTAATAAAGTAATATAACACTAATAGAAAAATAGTAGAAAAGATGAGAAGAAGAATATAGCTCTACTGCATGGGTAAATATCCTTAGGCATAAGACAGTCCTGTGGGAATTAGATATTCAGCAGAGTGATGGCATGAGGGGAAAAAACACTCTATGTATAGTTGTTTTGGCATGTAGTGTCCTGTAGCAGTGTCCCAAGGGGAGGAGTTGCAACAGTTTATGTCTACAATATGAGTGGTCTAAATGTATTTTCTCAGTCCTCCTTCTGACCCTTTAATATACAGGTTCTCAATAGAAGGCAGGCTGGTTGAAATTGTTTTTTCTGCAGTTCCTAAACTATCTGTTGAAATTTATATGTGTCCTGCTTGGTTGTTGTACAAAACCAGGCCGTTATAGAAATACAA